GTGTCAATCAACAATATGGTTTGAACTTCAAGCTTTGGCAGCCTCTTTCAATACATGACAGAACATTATTGCATCCATCATGAGGATTAGTAGAGGCTTGGTTAAAATATGCCTTGTCTCTTGTTGGCTGGGTCATTTTGGAAATATGCTCTGTGTGTGTCCATCTTGCATCTGTCTGTAGCACAGAGAGGATGGATTTTTAACTGCACAGAAATCCAGGTGGGAAGTTGCTTTGGAGAGTAGGTGGCTTGATATCATTAGCGTGACTTGTGTGCGAGGAGGAGAAGGCATCTAATGTGCAACATCTCTTGCTCTGACTGGCTGAGCACAGATGGGTGAAGTGAGGACAGGATGGTAGATTTCAGTCTGATTTTTGTCCTGCCTGTTGTTTTCAAATTAAACCTTCATGCAGTGATGTATGCAGTTTTGTGGTCTTCACTGCGTTCAAGCTGCGATGACTGTGCAGTGTACATGAAAAAATAAATTTAAAATTATATAATCTTATTCAAATATATTAAAGCATGGTATTAAATGGGAAGCAGCTGAAAATGTGATTGGTTTGTTTGTTTGGATTTTGAGAGCTGGCAGCCTTCTCTGCTGATAGTAGCAGGGGCAAAGCTCTCATTAGGAAACAAAGAAAACCTGACAGCAGAATGAAGGGCATGGAACTCATAATTGGCTTTTCTCATTGTTGCTGCACCACTTGCTTGGGTTTTGTTGGTGCTAATAACTCAGTCTGAGATCAGGCAAAGAGCTGGCATGCTTGAGCTGTACACACACACATTTCAGTTTTAATTAGGAGGAGATACCAGGAATGCACTCGTGCTGTAGCTCTTCCTCTCCTATGCTGCCTGGGTACCTGCAGCACCAGTTTCACTTAAGATGGAGATGGAGAAACAAGGGGCTTGTTTGTGCACAGGATGTCAGGGGGCAGCTCCAAATGGGCTGTGACAGCAGAGGCTTGCAAATAGCAGGGATAAGCAGTGGGGTGGAAATTACAGAGATGAGAAGGAACAGAAAGGTCTGCGACACCTTACCGCTTGCCTGAGAGGCTGCCTGTATCCATTCCAGCTAATGCCTGCTCCAGACCTCCTGTCCCTGTCCTTGCACACTCTGTGTGCTCTGACTGCCCCTGGCCTTGTCTGAGCCCACACATCTCAGTGGTGTCACACGGTGGCTTCTGAAATAATGCACGGCCTGCTCTCTCTGAAAGGTGATTTTTTTTGACATCTTGCTTGAAACTCCTCTGGCACAGCCTCCTCCTGAGGCAAGCTATTTAAAGACCAGGGAGAAAGCCTCAGCCCCCTTCTTGCACACACAAGAGCCATACGGTCCTTCAGCTCCACTTGGCACATGTGACAGAGTGGGATGAAAATGTGTGCTGTTATTTTTAATGGAATATCTTTTAAAAAAGAAATAACCTTAGAAGCTCTCTAACCCCATCTTCATTACCAAAAAAACAAAAAACAAAGAAATAAAACCCCTCAAAACAACCACTGCCTATTCTTTTTAGTATCTATGGCCCAGAAAGTATCATGTCCAGTGGGGCATCTCTTTTGTGTGCCTGGTGGTTCTTTAGGCAGTTTAGTTTGGGTTTGATTTTTAGTTTATTAGCCTGATTTCCTTATTTATTCCCTAACAGAGCAGAGCAAGGCTTGAGGCATGAGTTCATGACAGTGTGTGGATTTTGGAATTGCTTATGAGGAGAGGACATGGAAGTATTTCTGAGAGTTTCGTCACATACTTGCTATGCAGTGCGAATTGAGTGCCTGTGCAGATTTTAAATTGTTTTCTAAATTAAGAGCTCCCTCTCTTCTTTTGTGGGTATGTGCACCTGTGCATTTCTGCATGCCTGTTGGAGTAAAGACAGACTAATTCCTCAAGTAACTTTGAGGGCTTCTTATGTTTGTGTAGATGCTTGAAATTATTTTGGCCTGAAGTCCTTTTCAGTTCACCATCAAAGTAGTAATGAATCCTTCAGGGGCTGTTTTCCTTTTTTTACTTTTAAATCAGTATTCTTATTAATATTATTAGTAATTAAATTAGTATTATTGCTGCAGGAACTAGCTGTTATAGAAGTACAGCATCAGTTTGGTTGGGAACATTGGCTCTAAAACACCATATCAAACCCAGCAAGCCAAAAATTCTGAATGTTCCATGATTGTGCTTGATCACGGCCATCAAAATATTTTGTAAGTGATGTTTAGAGGGGCCTGTGTCATTCCCAAATGCAAGAGTGTGGATGTGGCATAAGGAAATCCAAGCTGGGGATTGTACAGATGTCAGTGTCAGACACCAAATATGCACCAGGCTTAACTGGAGTTGTCTGTCTGCACGTTACAGTGTTCCCAGGAAAGGCTGTAAAAGAGCTAGCAGGGATAGACAGCAATGTGGAATATTTGGTCTCCCATACCCACAGTCCTCAATGGAGCTGAGCTCCTTTCAGGGATTTCGTTGGCTTTATGGCTTTGTAGCTCTTCCTGCAGCAGCATTGTATTTCTCCTTTCCCCTGAACCCTTCTCTTAGAGCTGACAAGGACACCCCTTGCTGCTGGGTGGTAATTGTGGTTTAATGGTGGTTTAGTGGTTTAACAAGCTGAAACACAGCCAAGATGTGACTTGAAGGAAAAAAAAGCCCAACAAACAAAAGGGGGAAAAATATTCAGGATGCTGAAAAGCCCAGCTCCTTCAGGCACTAGATAGATTTGTAAAAGATGAAGTGTCCTCAGTCCCTGGAGCTGGGATGGAGGGAAAGGGGGTGTGCCCCACAGGTTTGGGGGACAGGGACAGTCACAGTCCTACCTGAGAGCACAACCCACGTGCAGTCAGCTGACTCTGACCAGTTTTGGTGTGGTTTTGACCCTGTGCTTGTTCCAAATAATCTGTGACTGAAATCTCTAGAGCAATCATTTCACCATGTATTTGATTATGGTGTCCTAAAAAACCCAACAAAAACAGAGGTCCTTATGCTGCCGATGCAGTCTTGTGTGGTGCTTGTTCAGGGGTGTGTGTTTGTTTTCCTTTAAATTTTGAGCCATGAGGAAGAAAGTGGTTTCTGCTGAGCCCCTGGACCTGTGAAGAACCAGTCGCTGAACCCTTGGGGGTTATGATAAATCCTCCTGACAATTGAACTATAAATACTCTGTGTATGTAAACCTGTATCAATGTCAAAGTCTTTTAAGGCTCATCAGAAAGAACTCTAGAAAGGGGGATATGGGTTGTTTGGCAAGGATAAGAGAGTTCTAGACTGGTTGTTGCAGATATTCTCTTATTCTCAGGTTAATTGCATTCCACTCTGTCATCACTTGTCACCTCATAAAACTTAAGTTTCTGAAATGGGTGAAGTAAACTGACTTTGGTTTGTTGCAATCAATCTGTTATAGAGAGAGTTTTGAAATACTTTGTCCAGGCAGGATCTTAGTTTCTCACCAGTTTCATGGGAAGTTTATTTCTGTGGTGTTATCATGGGATTTCTCAGGAGTTTCTGAAGCATTTTGCACAGGAGGATGCAAATGAACGTGTCTGCTGTTCACCACTTACTGAATTAAGAAGTAAACTAGGCTGAGCTACTGGGTTAAGCCTGCTGAGAATAAAAAGAGGAAATGGGGTGCCTTTTTTGGCACCATGAGTTATGAAGCATTGCAGTCTCTTGCCATGTGGTAGTTCCTTGCAGTTTGTTCTCCCTGTCCCCTCCTCCTGCCTGCTGTGGGACGCATCTGCAGGCCTTGCTTTCATTTGTGTGACTAATCTGGCCATGCCTCAGCTTTCATTTGTTTGGGTGTGTAAGGTCAGAAGCAGCTCTCCCTGTGTGATTTTCTGAAGAAATTCAAGGCTTTGTCAAATGAGCACTGCTTCAATGAGAGCTTTATGTAGACTCAGACAAATGAGGTTGCAAGGAAAAGGCATTCCTCATCTCCTTTTCTCCTTCCAATGTAAATAGTGCAGCATGTGGGAAACAGATAAGTGGACTTCCTGTGAAAGGGCCAAGGATGACAGTTTTGGACTTTATTGAAGTGTTTGCTTGCATTGCTATTTACTCTTTTCTAGGGAAGATCCTTCTGGTTGGGCATTGTAGCTCACTGTCCACTTTCTTAAATGTGAATAAATTCTTCCTGGCCTTTCCCTTTCAGCAATTGCTCTGATGACTGAACACTTCCATAGAATTTCTTGTTTATAGACAAGAAACTGATCTGGTGTGCATTTGGCTTGTCACAACTACTCAACTCTTTGGTTGTTTTCTGTTTCAGCCTCCTTTAATGATATCAGTTAGGAAAGGACATGTAAATGACAGATACTTTTAGAACACATGCCTTGTTAGTAGAAGAGAAGCTGATGTGTGGAAGGGAAGTGGTGTTCCCCATGTCTGGAGCACATCAGTGTGTGGAAACACGCATACCCTCCTAGAAGGGATAAATTAGAAGACTCTGCCATTAAAATTTGGGACTGGGCTTTTATAGTATCAAGTGATTGATTGTCAGATCTCTTCAGGCCAGCTGTGTCAGCTGAGCAGCTTTAGATAAGTTATTGGTAGTATCAGTAGAATGTTTGTTCCTTTATCAAGTACTTTACCAGGTCTACCACATCTTTATCTCACTATCAGTATGTTTAACTTTGGGATTGATGAGTCAGACTGTTTTCAGCTTTATTCAACACCAGAAGTCCTGTGATGCCCCCTTTTCCATTTACCAACAGTAGCTTTGCAAATACCATCTGCCATTTGGTGGCATTGCTTGAGTCATTTTGCCTCATTCCAGGCAGAGTGTCCTGGTGGAATCTGCAGTCACCTCTGCCCAGGACTTGAAAATGAGGCATTTTAGAAGTGCATTATTAACTGTCCTTCTGATGGGGATTTTAATCCTTACTAGCATTTTATTACTGATGGGCTTCCGTGAAATTTATTGAGCTGTTAGTAAGCAAATGTTCACTGAGTGTGTGCCTATCTCATGTCAGTTGGTAAAAAACCCAAGCAAATTCATGCTGCTTCTCTCTTTCTTGTTACAGCAAACCAACCCCATTGATGTGCAGTCCATTGAAGAAATTTTGAGGGTATGTGCTCTTAAATAATAGATCTCTGTCTTTGCTTAGATTTTCCATGCCTTAAGGTAATGGTTGGGGAAAAGATACCTCTCTGCTTCTGTTCACTCAGCAGATGTAGCTGTCACTAGTTTTGGGGTGTGCTGAGGAGAAGTAGAGATAAGAGTCAGCCTCGAGTACAGCTGGAATTGTAAGATCAGTCTTTCTATCAGTACCTTAGTGTAATACAGTCTGGTGCAGTTCAAGACTGACAAGTCATCCAAGACAGCCAGAGCTGCTCCTGCATGAAGTCAGGGGTTTGCCATTCCCAAGTGCCCTTCCTCCAAAGACTCTGGAGAAGCTGCCTCTTGTCTCTGCTGTCAGCCCAATCAGTGTGGCTCTGAGCAGGAACATCCCTGTGTCCTTCTCACCTGCATGTGCATGGCACTGCTGCTCCCTCACTGTAATTCCAGTCTGCTCATGCAGAGCAAAGCCAAGTCTGATGCTGTAACTTTGTGTCAGAACTGTCTCTGTGAGCAGCACAGGCTGTGGCTGAATCCCTTCCCTGTGCACAGTGTGAAAATGCCCTGGGATTCCCAAGCCAGTGGTCCTGATCCTGAGGAGAGTGTTCCTTGATGTCGAATTCTGTTCTGAGATGCTGAAGTCCTGGTGGAGCAGTTTGGTTTCTGCAATTCTCTTCCTGTGCAGTTGCTTGAGGTTGCAAAATCCTGATGACTCGATAGCTCTCCAGAAGCTGCTGTTGGGGCTGGAGGGGAGCTGCACACAGGTGCCCACTGGCTACTCTGTGCTGGTTGGGGTTGCAGCACAAGGACTCCTCCTAGAAGTCTGGCATCTTTTTGTGTTTCAGCAGGCATATCCTGTGTTCTGGCCTGCTAGTAATGCATATCACTATTTTTGTAGCAACCATGGGGAAACGTGCCCAAATGCATGAAGAGGTAGGTCCCAATCTCTGTGTCTATCAGCAAAACTCCTGATAGCTGCTCCTCTCAATCTCTTTCCAGGAAATGACCCGCTCTTGGCCACCTCCCCTGACAGCTCTTAACACACCTACTAAAGCAGAGCCTTCAAAATTTCCATTCCCTACAAAGGTAAGATACCCTCTTTCTTCCAGGACTTTTGATAAACTAGAAGACAGCTTTCTGGCTCTTGCATGTGTTTCCATCCGATTTTGTCCCCCTTCTATAAATAAGGGCTGTTAGGGGGTATTACCTTCAGAAGTAGTCAGATAAATTAAAGCACAATGGGGGTGAATAAAAAGTGCTTCAGCAACTTAGACATTTGTTGTAATTGTGGTCTTCAAATACAACTGCTTTTCTGAGACATTATAAATATCTCTGCTGAAGCACAAAATATTTTTTATCTTTTTGTCAATACAAATATTTGCTGACTGTGTTAAACAGATGTGCTTGGCAGATCTTATGAAATTTTAAAATACTTCTTCAAGAATGCACATACCCCTAATGTGCTAAAAACCAGTTTGGTGACAATAGCACGTTATCATTTCTGTCCATGCTAAGCTATGTCAGGCCAGCTTAGACTGTTGGACACTTTGACAAGCTGGCTTAAATGTTTATTACAGTAAAGTGACACATGGAAAACAAATCGTCAGTACACAACTCTTATAAGATAGCTCATTTATTTTATTCTCAATTTGCACTTTGTCTTTTTTTCCTAGGAATTGCAACCTGAAGGATCTGTAGCAAAGGATCAGAGTAAGTAGATAGCCAAAGGAAACACACACAATATGTTTATTGACAGATAGTTTTGTGTGCTGTGTGTTATACGTGACATGTCAATTGATTGACGTTGATGAAGAGGTGTGAATTTCTTGTGCTGTGTTGAACAGTGATGAATTTAGAAATGGCATAAGAGATTGTGTACATTCATTACCTAGACATTAAGGCAGCTGTTATTTCATTAGAAAATCCCATTTGGAATGATAAATAATCTGATGACAGTTATGTTCTAGAAGAAAGTGATGAGTCTAATCTGGTGCTCAGCAAACATAAGATAAAATAGGCTACAAAGGAGGCAAATAAACCCAACCTATTCATTTTTGATTTCCAGAGCAGTATGGAGCACCTTCAGAAACGTTGCCAGGTTCTCAGCCAAGAACATCGTAAGTAACCAGACCCTGCCCACATCTCTACTGTGCAGTTAAAGAACCTGGAAAGAACTAAATTTTGGATTACTCGATGTTTCTGAAGATTACGGTTTTATCTGTCTGATTTTTCTTAGAAAACTTGCAATGCAGGGAATTTTCATCAATAGAAACATTATTGTTTCATGATGGAATCATAGAATCATTTAGGTTGGAAAAGACCTTTAAGATCACCCAGTCCAACTCTTAACCTGACGATGCCAAGTGTACTTATCATGATTACAATGACTGTGTAAAAACCAAAACAAAACTGAAGAAAAAGCCTAACTATTAATGCACCAGATTAAAGGTATTTTGTTCTTTTTATCTGTGGCTATTTAACATCACAATTTTGTGCTGTTCAACCTACAATAATGCATTCAACTGACATAAATTACAAAAGGTCCAAACTGAATGTGATTGATCCTGGATATTGTTTTGAAGCCTGGGGGGGCTAGTAAAGCCACATCTACAAGAACTATAACAAATAGGGCTGAAGTTTTAGAGAAAAAAAAAAAAAGGCAGATAACTTGGTGCTGTCCTTGTAGGTGAGAGTGGTTATCTGTTAATTAGGTTAATTACAGAAGTTGCTTGAAAGCAGTTTTGTGTGGGCTGACATTAATCTTTCAGGATTTACTTAGCCAAATGCAGCATTGCTAGGTTCTGAGCCCTTACTAACAAACATAAATCTTTCCATGTCTGAAAGGCTCAGGGGTCCGTGTGCAAGGCACTTGCTGAACCATTAAATTTAAATGTCTGTCAGTTCAAATGATACATAAAGATCTTGTTACTCCATGATATGTTCTTCCATGGAAGGCTGCAAAGTACAGACTACAATGCTTACTCCACTTGTTTGCCTTTTCCTTATCACAAATCATTTAATTAAAAACCAAGCAAAACTGGGCTAGTAACAAGTAGGAGCAAAACCATGTCTCCGTCTTGGCTGAGATTGTAGAATTTTTCACTTAAGCCCTGTAGGGTCTGTTAAGCATCCTTTTCCTACTGTTCTAGCATAATGCAGAGGAGCCCTCACTTGCTGGGAGTATGGGATAGTGTCTTGCTGAGCAGTCACCTACTCCCTTAATCTCTTCCTTATTTTGGTTCACTTTCATCCACGCCAGTTTGTTCCTCCTCAATGATGTCTGAAAATTTTCATTGCACTACTAAAACTAGTAGTTCCAACTGCTCCAGGCTCTGCCTTCCTCCCCAGCTACCCTATGACCATCATCATTATTTCAGTTCACAGCTGCTTATAACAATCCCTTTAGCCCTTTAGTCAGTTTTTGAGGCAGCAGAGAGAGAAGAGACTTTTCCTACAGACAGGAATTGGAAGGGACTCCTTCCTTAGCCCACAGGGCCAGAATTGTAAATTTAGCACGGTATGGAGCTCTGTCCTTAGCCCTGATCCCTTCCCTTCTCTGCTCAGTGTCTTGCCAGGCACTTCAGAGCCAGTGCTCATCCACAAGGGATGTGTGAGCCATGGTCAGCAAAGGCAGTGGAAGCCTTTGGAGGAGGAACAGGGTGGCCTGGGTTTGTGTCTGAGTGAAGTTTGCCTGAGGATTTCTTCTACATCTTTCCCTTGAAGTGATCCATCCCTTCTTTTCTGTGTTTGTTTTCTCTGGCACAACAGGCCTGGCTTTCTGTGCTGTTCAAAGCGCACGTGACTGTCTGAAAATTCAGCTGCCTGGAGTAGCTTGTGTTGCAAAGTGTAGCTGCCTGAAAACAAACAGTGATTGTGCTGGTTAATTAGAAGATGAAATCCCAGGGCATCTGTGTGCCCAAATTAAGCATTCAGCTTTTCAGAGCGTGCAGGGATTTCCCAGATGGATTTCATTCTTGAATGCAGCCCTGAAGTTTGCACCTGGCAGTGCTGGAATGGAAGCAGCCCTTCTTTGAAAAGGAGACATGGTAGCTCATTCTTGGTGATGCATCTTTAACCTGGCTAGCAGGGAGGGACCAGCCTGTGCTTTCAGTGAGGTTGTTTGGCAAGTGATAATAATTTTAGTGCTGCTTCTCTCACTAAAAGAACTCTTTTTAAATAGCTTTAGGGAGATTAATGGTGTGTACATAAGCTGCAAATGAACAGGTCCTGCAAATGAAACCTTGGCATCTATTATTCCTGAGCTAACTGGAGCATTAAAATTATTAAGGCAGATTTATTTTCTTTAACTAGGCTATTTAACAATTTGTCAAAATCTTGTTTTGTGGAAACTGGCTTTTTCTACCATTGCAGAAGTATGACTTGAAGTTTCAGAGTTCTTCCTTGATCCCAAATAGAGCATAAGTAGTTGCAGTGTTCTTTTATGCTGATGTATTTTATTTACTAGCAGCTCACATAGAAAAGGTAGACTTTTTTTTTACAAACAGTTAAATCAGATTTAAAGAGATCTAGGTAGTGTCTTTGCATGTCCCTGTCCACAGCAGGGGTTTGAAACTAAATGATCTCTAAGGTCTCTTCCAACGCAAACCATTCTATGATTCTGTGATTATCCTCTTACCTCTAAATTAAATAAGTCTTTAGTCCACAATTCTTAAAGCAGAATAAAATGGAACAAAACTAAAAAAAACAAAGAACACCCCAAAACCAAACTTAAAACCTTTCAACATGTTTTAGCATCCCTGAAAGTTTCTTCACTACCATCTTTGAAGGACTCCTTCCCCCTAGGAGCTGTAAAAGAAAATAAAAAGGATTCATTGAGATACCAGTAGATGGTTAGCCAAACTGCCCAAAAGTGTGGAGAGTGCCTGTGCTGTCACTGTTCTTTTTCCATTTCTGTGCCTCATCTGTCTGGCAGTGAGCTCAGGCTCTGGCCCACAGCAGAGCTGGCTCGTGCAGGATTGCTGCAGGCTGTCTGCCTTCTGTAGGAAATTTGGAGCTCTCCTTTTCCAAGGTGGTGTCTCATAGTGCTTCCCTTCAGTGTTTACTCTAAATGAAGAGGCAAGAGGTGATTTCCAGTGAGAAGGTGTGTGAGGAAATGAGGCAGTGGAGGGTAGATCACAGGGGAATGGCAGTCAAAATGAACAAAGAAAGCAACGACTTTTTCCTAATTTCTCCCCCTTTTTCCAGGGTGATGGGGATCATTTATAGTTATTTTCTTGCTATAAAACATGTTGTCATGAGGGCTCAGTCCTATTTTTCTTTTTTGGCCACAAAAAAATTTTTCACAGAAAGTCCTTGGTTTGCAATGAGGTTGAAATAAGCAGTCAAGTTTAGTCCTGATTGATTAAAATCTCTATCTCAGCTCCCAAGCTTTTGATCCCATTTTTGGAAGGACACTTGAATAGTAATCTGGGTTGAGGAGTCAATTGCCAGCTAGTTTCAAGATCTGAATAACTATACTTTTGAATAGCCAGGTTTTACCTGCCTATTTTTCAAGTCCTTTGGGATGCCTGCCCAATTGCCAGAGAGGGGGATAACAATCTGGGAGAGCTTTGAATTCCTCTCCTTCCCTTCCAGCATTTTAATTAAAAATTGCAAATGGTAGTTACCACCTGCAGCCACAGGACTAAATGATGCTTTTGGAAATGTTTGTGGGCAGCCTGCTCTCTTCTCTAGCAATAGTGAAACAGAGCTCACACCTCTCAAATTGTAAACTGCTCTGAGTACCTGAACTGCTTGACAGTACTGCTGAAATGTGCAGGAGAATGGAGTTCCTTGAGTAGAGAGGAGATGGGAGATAGGCTTGACATTGGCATTGACTTACACATGTGTGATAGGAGACTTGGGCAGCAGAATGAGAACCCCTGGGACAGAAGAAAAATTTGCGGTCTCTGAGAGCAGAGTGTGTGAACTTGCACATCTCCTGGTACTTCTGATGCTTTCTTGGAGACCCAGTGCAGGCTGACAGCATGACTGTCTCTTAGTGTACCAGTAAAAAAAAAAAAAAAAAAGAGTAAAACATTTTAACCATTCATTTCAAGTAATGATACGGTTTAGTAGATTGAGCATGCCAAATGTTCAGAAAAGATGGGGGAGGTTGTTTTGCTTTGGCAAGTACAAACCAAATCTTTATCACTGCCTGCTGCTTCAAAATGTGTCTGCCTTGGCTGATATTTATCTTCTGGTTGTCTTTCAGAATGCTCCAGGACGACCTGCAGCTCAGTGATAGTGAAGAGAGTGGTGACGACCAAGTCGGTTTTAGCTGTTTTATACACTAGGCACAGACTTCCCTTTAAACATCACCACTTGTTGCATTGTTCTGAGTTCTGAGCTAACCTTTCCTCCCCCTCTCCTCTTTGTCTTTGTGAACAAAACAGGTTGTTGAAAAGTCACCTTCTTCACTTGCTCCTCCAAGGTACAGGTTTGTTCCCAAACTACTAGCTAGACCACATAAGGAGAAAAACAAAACTCATTTTTATATGTGGGGTAGGAGGGTAAGGGTTCCTGGTTTCTCCTGTAGCTACAGACTTTGGTTTCTGGCTACTCTTGAAAGTCAGCTTTAATTGTGTGGGGTTTTCTGGTAAGCTCCCATTAGAAATGAGTTATTCAGGTATGCTGGATCTTGCCTCCGAACCAGAACTGTATTTCCTCAACTGCTCCTTTCTCTTCTCTTCCCCCCCTCCACCAGTTTGTCCATAGACCACACTGCAGCTAATGGGATTTTCAGCTGTAGTGGCCATGGGTGAGATGTGAGTCCAGTTTTAGCTCAGAAGGAAGCCCAAGACAGCCAAGTGGGTAAAGAACAGGAAAGGGTTAGGAAGACTCATTGAGGCTGTTTCAGCTCCTCCTGATAAGGAAGCTGATTGTAAGCTGTTCCTGCCATGTATTGTTACTCAGAGGCAATATTCAAGGTAGACTGAACAGCCATATGCCAGCATTTGAGGAAGAAAGATGGAAAAGCTCAAAATTTTTCCTGTATGAGAGCACTGACATAGATTTTTTTTTTTTTTTTGGGCTTGATGTGTATATTCTTCAAGCACAAGAGTAGGCTACATAGTCAGACTTGCAGAACACAGATCATGATTGCCATGATCTGTGTCTCTGCAAACTCTTAAAATAGGAATGTTCTCATGATATCAGTCTTGGATCAGCAAGGAGTTTGCCTCCAACTCATGCAAATGTGTTGATACTGATGTGGGAAACCAAAGTAGAAAAAATAAGTTAAAATATCTACATTTTAATAAAACCCATTTCAAAAAGAAAAACACTGTGCATAAAAGGGACAGCTCTTCCTTGATTCCATCCACTCCATTGTCAGTGTGGAGAAAACACTTTTTGTTAGAGCAGTGTGTTGCAAGAAATGCTGCTGCCTGATGGGGCTATTAATGAAGTGCTTACAGCAGCATGACCAAGTAACACAGATGAAGTGAAAACTTAAGAGGGAGAACAGAAAAAACAGAAACCATCCTGAAGTATATGTTCCTGCCTTGTTCACTTTTATTGGAAGTTTTTCAGAAAAGCACTGGGCAGTTTCAGTATTTTTTAAAGTTTGGTTGGCAAAATGCAGCTCCTCATTGTAGTAGTGGCATCTTGCTACATATTTGACTGGGTTGGAGTTAAAGGTTTTATTACTTCCAGCAATTTTGTATTCTGGTGCTTTATTTTTTTGAGTATGCTAATGTATTTCTCTGGCATTCTACCTTCTCATTTCAGTGCCAAAATAATGGGATTTGAGTTTTTGTTTTTGAATAAAACTGTCAATATAATAAGTAACCTTCAGCCATGCTGCTTTCTAATTTTATCTCATAATGGCCTTGCAGTTCCTTACAGTCCCAGCCCAAGAGCGTGGCATCAGCACATTCCAGCAGCTCGGAGTCAGGGAGCACCAGTGACTCAGACAGCTCCTCCGACTCGGAGACAGAGAGCCCCTCAAGTGACAGTGACACCAGCGAGCCCCCGCGAGCGCCGGCGCCCGAGGTGAATGCACATGAGAGGCAGAGGGGCTCCCACAGCCCTTGCCCCACTCTGCTGTCAAATGCACTCAGGGCAGGGGACCTGCAGCACTCTCATTGATCAGCTGTCCCCTTGACATCTTTGCTGCATCACTCTTTTCTTACCCTGTGCTTCCATTCTAGAGTTTGTCAACCTTAGTTACCCTCACTACCAACATGAGACTTTCAGATGCCCAGCCTTTGTTGGGCATTGCATCCCCCATGTCCTTTGGCACAGTTATCTAGCTCTCCTGGGGGAATCAGTGCCTTCACTGGGGACACAAGAGAAGGCACAGAGGGAAAGCACAGCTGGGCTGTGTGGGGCCCACCTCTGCCTGTGCAGGATTTCTGGGTGCCTTTATGGGCAGTGTCAGAATGAGACCAGTTTCCTGATAATTTAAGAGGAGCTGCTGCCTCCCTGCAGCTCCTGTGCCTGAGTGACAGATTCAGCTTCTCCCAGGTTGCAGCTGAAGGGATCAGACCTGCAGAAAGGGCTGGAATATGCTTAGCCTTGCTGCTGTTGAATTTGGCTTGGATACTGCTGCACTGGCATTTCTGAGGCTTTTATTGGGAAAAGCAGACAAACAGAACTTGGTGCCTGAAACTTTCATAATTGTGAGACTGTGCATTTTTAAAAAAGATCTGCTGCAGAAGTGCTCATGTCCCATGCTTTCAAACAGTTCTTTCATGTTGCACAACATTCTCAGGGTACTGGGAAGTACATGGCTGTGTCTGCAGACCACAGCTGATGCAAAACAATCCACTGGCAGTTTGAGGTCCCTCTTACAAAGACCCTTGTAATTTAGTTTTCCTCCCCTCAGCTCTAGTTCTCTTTCTTTTCACCTTAGAAGTGCATGAACAGGAAGAAGCCAGTAACAAGCTTTGAGACTGCCTATCTTTCCATCTCACTCTAATACTTTTTTCCTCCAGCAGTTCAGTTACAGACTGTGCCCACTGCAATATTGTGTCTTTGACGGAAGATGTTATACTTCTCGTCTTTTACTAAATTCTGCCTGGTTTGTCCTGAAAATACTAATGAAGTCCTAGCTACTTGCCATTGGCCTTTTTGTCCTTTTTTTATTCAGCCAGCTGTTCATCCATGATACTCTAGAGTAAGTTAGTGCACATGGCCTGTGTGTTTATAGTGAGTTCTTCACGTGCAAAAGCAAACACTTTGAGACCTCTGGGCAACAGAGCCAGGGCTCTGGTAAGCTGTGCTAGGATGGAAACAGCCCTTAAAGGCATCAGGTTTGAATCCTCCCTTTCTCTTTTTGTCTGCAGCCTGAGCCACCAAATTCTAATAAGTGGCAGCTGGACAACTGGCTGACCAAGGTGAACCCAGCAGCAGTGCCAGCAGAGAGCCCCAGGGACACTGCCCGAGGGGATGGGCCTGAGGAGGGCAAGGGGCAGCAGCGGGGCAGCAGCAGCAGCAATTCCTGCCAGCAGCACCCTGAGCTGAGGCAGCCTCCTCACAAGAGCCCAGCGGCCAGGGCTCCTCAGGAGGCTCCTCTCCCGACCAAAGGCAGCTGCCAGAAGGCTCCTGCGCGCTCCCAGGAGCCCTCGGCCAGGCACACCGTGGGGATCAAAGGGCCCAGCAAGCCCCTGGGGCACGAGGGGCCCAGGAGGGGCCTGAAGGTGGAGAGTGAGCCTGGCCCTTTGGAGCTCACAGACCAGTCTTTCAGGGACAAGCCAAAAGTCAAAAAAACAGTGAAGACAAAATCCAATGACAGAAAAGACCCAAAACCGGGACTTCAAGAGCCCTCTGAGAGAAAAAAGGACAAGGGCTCCCACCAGGCCAAAGCCAAACCTTTCTTGGAGCCCAGGCTCATGGGAGATGCCCAGGCACGGGATGCTCTCAGTCCCCTTCCTCAGGGCACAGCCCCCCTCAGGACCAGCAGGCACAGGCCTCAGGATTTGCACAGGGAAAAGTTGCCCTTGTCTCTCGGGGAGAAGTTGCTCTCACCAGTGGGGGATCCCCCAAGCCGTGAGCACCTCATGGTGAAAATAGATCTCTGCCACCTGGAAAAAGTCCCTCAGCCCCCCAGGAAAAATGGGCACCAGAGGAAAGCAGAGACCAAGGACCTTCCTGATGTGAGGAAGCAGGACTTAAAGAGGAAAGCCACGGACACTCCTGAGGAGTCCCTTGCAAAGAAGAAGGTGAGAGATGGAGTGGGAGCTGGGTTGGTACAAGGACTGATGTGATGTTTGAAAAGCCTATGTGGACTTCCCATAGGTTGAGAGTAGAGCCATTATCCTTCTGTAAAGCTATTATCAAGGGGAATGTGAATCAAAACTGTCTGCAGATGTTTCTTGTTGGTCACAAATCCCCTCCTGAGCAAATGAAAAGCCCTGTAAGCTGTCTAACTTGTTTTAGCATTTTAGAATATATTTTTGCTCTGTTTTCTTGAAATCTTGGTTTTCTCAGAGAATAAAACCAGTTGTAACAGTGGCTTTCCCTTGAATTACAAGAGAGCCCTTTATTTAACTGAGGTGATCATTGCTCACAAGTGTTTTTTGAAAAGCTGACTCCCAGAGGAGACTATGAATGTACCTCCAGCCAGCTGGGTCAGCTGCACAAAGAGTTGGCTGCAGACCTTGTGGGCAATGGGTATTCCCTCTGGATATTTCAGTCCCTGAGTCCCTTTTTGGTCCTCACAGAGCAGGTGGCTCAGCATGGGTGGGTGAATAACCTTGGTTTGGGTTTCATTTAGTTTTGCAATTTTATGAATTTCCTGTAGTTGTGAGGGAGAATTGAGAAGAGCAGGAAAATTGTGAAGAAACTTGAGAGACCTCAGAAATTCCTGCTCTTGCAGAGCAATGGGACAAAGGGAAACAGGCAGTCAGTCTGTCTAAGAGACAGAGGAGAGGAGCTATTTGATGTTAGACATGTCTTCTCTTGCAATCTCAGTGCCTGACTGCAGGGAACACCCCCGAGGGCCTCACTGTCAGCTCTGTCAGTGCATCAGTGCCCTCGGGGGCTCAGGTCTCACAGCAGCCAGCTGGGTCAGGTAACCTGGAACACAGTGCAGGGATGTGATCCCAGTGCTGGAGCCTTGTCCTGAGCACCCTGCCAGAGACAGACTGTGTGTCACAGCACACCCCTGTGAGTGGCACAAAGCTGGCTGTGTCCCAGGCATGAGGGCAGGCTGGGAGAAGAGCTCACTGGGAGCATGCTGGCGAAGGAGGAGTGGGAGGTTCCGCTGGAAGGGAGGCTGGACACGACCCAGCAGTGTGTGCTTGCAGCCCCGAAAGCCAAACGTGTCCTGGGCTGCAGCCAAACGTGTGTGGTCAGGAGGCTGAGGAGGGGGATTGTGCCCCTCTGCTCCTCTCTGGTGCCACCCCACCTGCAGTGCTGCATCAGCTCTGGGGTCCCTAAGTTACTGGTGCTTTAAAATTTCACCTATGTCAGCATCTTGGTGATAAAAACCAAACCCCTGCACATCTGGAGTACCTGTGTGGAGTATCTCACATGAAAGTGCCTTGCTTTTGATTATTGTTAGTAGCAACAGGTTTAGCAGTTCCATCCCTGCCACTGCAAAGCAATTAATCTATCCAAGCAAAATTAGATAAAATGTCATTTTAGGTTACTTATCAATGAGCTTGCAATCTGTATCTTCTGTGCTGTGGGTCTGCAATTTGTTGGTTCCAGTAAGGTATCTTTTCTTCTTTTTTTAACCAGACTCAATCAAACTTAGCTGTGTTGGTCTGTATTTTATGTGAACTTTGAAAATCTAAGTGATTTTGTTTCCTTTTTTTTCCCTTCCTATTAGAGGGAAGAGAAGGAGGAGACTGATAGGAAGAAAATGAAATCTGAAAAAAACCCCAAATCATTGCAGTCTTCAGCTAACAAAGACTCCAGTAAATTGAAGTGAGTATACAGTGCTGGAATGGCAGAAGGGTGAATAAATCCAAGTCTTTCCTAAAGAGCTAAGATCAAGGAAGTGTATCTCCTATCCTTATACTCATGAGTTTGCTTCTAACATAATTTTCCTTCTGAAACCTGATCTACAGCAGATTTGCCTTTACATCCAGGAAGCAACCAGTCCAGAAAGCAGCTCTGTAGGTGTGGGTGGGGAAGGGCAGTGAGCATTTCCCTTCTCCACTAAAGTCATCCTCTTGTCTTTGCCTTGTTTTCCTAAGTGACCCAATGGACACTAAACCAATGTGCCTTTTGAGTCCTGACTGTCTGCAATTTCAGGTGGCCTTTGTGACCAGGAATTCCTCCTTTTTCCCAGTGTAGCATTTGCAGTGCTTCTGGTAGCCCTGCTGGAGCTTCCCCTGTAATTTGCATAGCAGAGCACTGCCAGCATTCTGACTAGCCCTTTGCTCCAGTGACTGCTTCCCAGAGCATGTTTCCAACTGGGCAGTGTTCCCAAGAGGAGAGACTCATGCCTCAGCCATGGGCTACTGCATTCAATTCCTCCTTGCTTGTGGCTTGAATTTGAGGTGTTGCCTTGGATTGGTATGCAGTGTTGAGGCTTGTGTCCTGACAATAGGAGTAAACTGCTTTTCTGAAGAGAAAACACTGACTCACTCTGGAAGCACTGAGGAATTGGGACTGCCGTTTAGTTGGGTGAAGGGATATTTGAACTGTGGTAGTCATGCAAGGGCTTTAATTCTGGGGCTTATTCCTCTCTTTTTCTCAGTGAAAATGAGCACCTGTTGTAGTCATGTTCTGGTTTTTGGACTGGGAACAATAGGATGCATTTTTGGGAAGAGTGTGCACTTGGGTGGGTCAGGTGATGGTTCTGTGCTCTGTGGAGCATCATCTGTGCCCAGGTGGAGAAGCTTGGGAGCATGTGTCTGATGTGAGTGGGAACCAAACCATGGGAAAAGTGTGTGGTGGAAGAGGGGGAGGATTGTCCCACACACAGCAGAATGAGGCAGGATGTGCACCATCAGACCTCAGCCTCCTCGCTGGTTAAACTTCATTTCCTCCTCTTCTGATGTTTCAGTCCACAAACTGGGGTTCCCTGCTCAGTGTTTCCTTGGAAACTTTGAAAAACTGAATAAAAAGTATGTAAATGAGCAGTGGTGAAACAAAGTTTGGAACTATTTGTTGCTACTTAGGGCTGCTCATCCTAACTTCAGGTGATCAGAAATGGAAGGTTACTAAATGTGATAATCTCTGCCATTTAAAGCATAGCAATTTAAGTCTCTCTCAACTTTGTGAGTGTTGTCTAGTTGATCTAGCAAGTCTTAAAGGAGGAACTCAGCTTAATGCTATCAAAGCACATACAGGATCAAGTGTCAGGGTGAGTATCTCTGACCACAGAAAATACCATCTGCCAAAAGGGGGAGAGGCAGGCAGTGCTGCAGTTCATTTGCCTTGTTGGGTGATTTGTCCCAGTGATTTAGTCGCTGTAATCACCTCCCTCACTGAGTGAAAAGGAGCTGTGTTGGAGGTAGGCTTTTTTTGCAATGTTCTGATGTTCTGGTTACAAGTGTTTCTCCAAGGACAAGTTCTGAGACTTATTCCTACTTGAAAAGCAGATTGCTTGTATGTTGATCGTAGGTGAACATTTGCTGTCTAAAGCACAATGGAGCCCCCAAAGTTTTGTTGAATTCTTTGTATTAACAAGTCATCTCCCACTTCCAGAGGAGTTTAAACAGATTTGGCACATGATGTAACTAAGTTTGTAAAAAATCCCTACATTGTATATACACCATGTTTATGAATTTGCTTCCCATTTCCAGAGCATCAAAAGCTTCTTGTGAAATCCAGAAGAAAGATGTGCTCCCACCACTGCCATCCATGTCTGCGGCACAACCTGCCCCAAAGTCAGCCAAGATTACCCAAAAGAGACCCAGAAATGAGACTGATGAGCTGCCTGCCATGGATAACCCTGCCAAGAGCAAGAGCAACCACAAGGATCCTTCGTTTGCCAAGCGCAGGAAAGTGGAGGGAAATCCTACGGAACTGTCCAAGGGCATCAAAGTAGGTATCCAGGATAACTGGTGGGATGTTTCCTCCAGCATGGGTGATATGTGATTCTCTTCAGAAACATACTCTGTAAGCTCCAAAGGCACGAGAGTCATGTTTATGCTAATTACCATTTCAGACTGCAGGCAACTGCTAATACAATACTCATGTATTGATGTAAAAATAAGTGTGCTTACAAAAAGAAAGAGGGGATTGCTTAAAAATAAGAAAACAAGCAACCTATGGCATTGATTACAACCCAGGTGTAAGCTTTTATAGCTTGTTTACAAAATGGTTCATGATCCTTGCAGCTGATTATTTGCATTTCTGGGTTACAAAATTTGGTTACTGGAGGCTTGGGCATGTGGTCTGGGATGTTGCTCTGTGTGCTAAGCCAGACTGTGGACACTGCATTAGCTGGCTCTAACTGTTTGCTTTTTCCTTTTCCCTGTAGTTAGTAATGGGAATTAGCAATTGTTGTGTGGTTAAGGTGGAAATAAATGTGAATAGATCTTATCATTCTACCTTGGCTAGAGGACGTGAAAACTGTGCTGCTTGCAGCCTCACTGCTCTCTTAGTCATTGTGCAAGGAAACCTGCTCTGAATTTCTCTGAGCTTGGGAGAACTTTGAATGGTGTTAGGCATGACAAGCAGTCAGGTGAGAAGCAAGGGGAAGAGAGCCTGGAGAATAGACTATGCTTGGGACAGATAAACATTTTCACTTGAAATTTGGGAAAGCTGGGCTTTGGAATTGTTTTAGGCATATTTCTCTAACCAGCTTTATCTCTGTCCTTTTCCAGGAATCTGCAGGTGATGTCACAAAGCCTTTCCCAGTGCCTTCTATGCCAAATGGTACCTCTAAGCCAAGGAGACCTCTGCTCAAGTTTGAAAAGTAAGGTTTTGTTTGACACCCCTCCTCTTTACTTCCTGAAGGCATGAGGCAGGGCTGGCCATGAGGCCACTCTGGGCTCTGCTTTTTCCTGAGCACTTCTTTGGGAGGAAAGAGAGGGGAGAGATGTGTGAGATCTGCCCTGTACTGCCTTCTCATGCCACCCATGACAAAGTAAAGGTTTACAAGAAAGCAAAATTTTACAACAGTTTTGGTTTGAGGGAAGCTGCTCTGGAAATTAGGGACCTTCTCTCATGTAAGCAAGTAACTTGAATACAAGTTTTGGTCTCAGATAAGTGTGTGGTTGCTGCCAAATTTACTTTGTTTCAATTAAAATTTATTTATGGGTCTGTAGTTGAGGAATGATAGATGATATAACTACTGTCTTTCCATGGAAATGAGGAATTTAACTTGTTCTCATGGAAGCCCTGCCTCTTGAATTTTTCTATTTCTAAATGTAAATTTTCAATATTATTCCAACATATATTTTTTGAGAAATCAATCATCCCATAGCATCCTCTAGATAGGAAAGTAAAACTGATATTTATCCTACCCTTTTTCGTCTGTTTTTTCTCTCTGTCCCCAATTTAGGCAACATTCAAAGGAATACTACATTGAACAGGCCCAGAGGCTGAAGCACAAAGCTGATGCAATGGTAAGTGTTGACCTTGTGCTGGGAATGCTGACCAGCTCCTGCTCTCAGCCCTGGTACCTGTGCGGGTGGGAATGAGGATCACGGGCTACCAGGACTTCCATACTCCATACATGGAGTGTGTCAGTCATGTCTTGGGAGGCTGTCTTTATTTGCCAGATAGTCAGATGTTTCTCTGGGATGCAAACACATCTAGAAAATGGGATTCAGATCTGGCATTGTCAAGGGCTTTGCTAAGAGCTCTAAAGGCATCCTTGGAAAACAGATGGAACAGTTAGTTTTAAGACAGTTTAAAAAGTCAGAAAAGTCAGGCAGTTATTGATTTGCTGGTGACTGAGACTTGGAAGTGGCCTTGGCAGATCTGATTTTTTCTGCTCTGTGCAGTTTAACAGTGTGCACATGTGAACATGTTGCTTTGCTAATTATGGCAGATAATTATCTCAGTCAGATAATGTCCATTTACTACTTTCTGTTTACCTGTGAAAATGAAGTGAGGGGATGCTGCAGTGGAAAACCCCCCTGTGAGGCAAGCCTCCAAGACCACACAACAGTATCTAATAAAAAGTGAAGATAATAAATTACTCAAGGAAACCATTGAGCAAATGGAGCCCACAAAGCTGAAGACTGGGATCACATTAAGGGTTCTGCTGAGAACCCTTTAATTTTCACCCAGAGGTCAGACTGAAATATTTTTCTTTCTTCAAATCCTGCCTAACTAGGAAGAAAAGAGAGTTCAAGTATACTTGAGAGAAGTGTGTTAGGTCTTAGTAAAACGTGAGAATTTTCTTCCCAACAGACTGACAAGACTGGAAAGGCCTTTCACTACTTGGAGGCTGCCCTTTTATTCATTGAATATGGGATTGCCTTGGAATCAGATGTGCTGGAACCAAAATCAGCTTACAGCATACTCAGTGACACCATAGTTCTCATCAAGTAAGTGCCTTTCAGAGGGTGACAGCTGGGCATGTTTGGAGGGGAGGGCATTTTGACACACAGTACTCTGCTCAAGATCTTACAAAGTTCCTTGTGCCAGGACTAAGGACTTGTGGCAGGCTTCCTCTCTTTCCAACTGCTTTAAAGAAAATGGCATGCAGAATTTTTTCATGAACTGTGGAGCTTCAGAGTGCTCTGGTGGCTGACAAGGTCCTGTTTATTCTGTTTCCCTAGATTCATCATGACTTTGAAACCATTTGCAGACTCCTCAGTCTCTTCACACGGAAAAATCTTTGCTGTGTTACGGTGAGTAACTGTGCTTCTGCTCCTTTGTGCACTGCTTTGGAACTGAGGGAAAGGTCCCTTGCTTCCAGGGGGGAAGGAATGAGTTAAATGGGAGTTAGTTATGCAAGGGAAAAAAAAAAACCAAACAATATAAAGGAACATTAAAAAAAGCAGTATAAAAACCAGAATGAATTTAAACATCTCTAAAGTAAGCTAGGAGATCACAAGGGACCACACGTAGAAGGCACAGGCTTTTAAATTTGATCTCCTGGTAACTTGAGAGCACATAAGGGCTTTCACCTAAGGTGAAAGAATGTGATTTGGCTGTCCATGTTTGAGCTGTGTAAGTGAAACTGTAGCTGAACATGGATGAGGCACTTCTGGAAGGGGACTTACTCAGCCTTTGGCACCTTTGAGAGCTGGGCACCTGTTTGTATGAAAGACCAGAGAAGGCCCTTCCTTGTTTCATTCTTTCCCTTGAGTTTTTTTTTTCATAAAGTCTTTTTTTATCATGATCAGAAGGAGAAGAAATTTTGAGTTTTCCTGACCTTGCAGTAGAGCTGAGATGTGCCTGCCTGCATCCCTCAAGGCTGATGAGGGCTGGGCACAAGCACTGACACTCGGGTGTGTTTCTGTCCGCAGCATGCGCTGCCAGTCCATTCTGCACATGGCAATGTTTGGTTACAAAAAGGACACTGCAATGAGGTATTCCAGACTCCTGAATGACCACTTCAAGGTAGGGCACAGGTATCACTAAGCTGCCAGCTGGATGGCTGTGGTGGTTACTGATGTCAGCTGAACAATCCAAAACTAACTAGACTTTTATTCCTTGCTGCAGAGTAATTTCAGAGTAATACAAGCACCTTCTCCAGGTGTTGCAAGGTAAGATTTAAAAATTTGTTGTCGTGCATCTGTTTCAATGACAATGAATAGGGACTTTTCTGTGTTCTGTGGTCATTTCACGTGGCAGAGAGGAAATGAACGATTTTTTTGTCTTTCAAAATCTGTGGTGGAGAGAAGGTTGTTTGGACTTTGACAGTGGTGCTGATTCCAGTTACATTTTTTTGCCCACCTTGCACAGGATAGTTCATTGAGAAGTGAGTGTTCTCTTGAGAGCAGTGGTGGAAGCCCTGTCATACCAGAGACTAAAATTGGGTTGGTTGAAGTGGTGGGGGTGTGCTGAGCCAGGCTGTGTCTGGAAGGCGGCCGGCTGACCACATTTATCTGCCCTGGGTCTATAAATAAATGTGTGTAGGCTGACCTGGCTGCTCTAAGGAGCTGCCAAAAGCTCCAGCCTCCTCAGGAGGGGAGCTTCAGTGTGCCTGATTTGGAAGGCATTAGGGAAAACACTTGGGTAATCTGGTGAGGACTTTCACAAGCAGGTGTAGATTTTGGAAGATGGATGGGTGGCCCTTTTCAGTGTCTGGTCCCACATTTTCTCTTGTTGAGTAGAGTCCTTCTAAATCACTTCCAAAAACTTGGCCTTGCACAAAGTACAATTGCTTGTGCTGTAGCTGAACACATCTCACTTTTCAGCAGTTCACTCCATGCTGCAGGCTTGGGTGACACCTGATAGCTCCTGGCATGAGGCAGCCTTGTGGAAAGATGTTTAGCTCTGAAGCTGAATGTTTATGATGGTGTTTCTTTTCTGCTGCAGAAGCACAGGCTTGCCTTCTCCTCTTTCTCCAATACCCTCTCCTGCTGGATCTGTGAGTTCTCAGCCAGGATCAAATGATAGCAACGGCGTTGGCCACAGCAGCATTGGCAACAGCACTGGCTCTACTGTCACTGTCTCCTGTCATATCTCCAGTGTCACCTCTTCCTATGTCAACATCACCTCCTATATCCTCCATGCATATGAAATTTGGGAAAAGGCTGATGCACTGGCCAGGAAGAATAAAGGTAAGTTTTTGCCCTTCTGTCTTTTCTGTCTCTTGTGTCATGGTTATGTGTGTATTTGCCTCAATCCTGACACTCAGTGCAACAAGCACCATACTTAAAGTTCAAAGCATGAAATATGTTGAATATCTCTGCCAGAGTATATTGGCAGAGATACTTGATGGTGATATATTGATGAGTGTTCCCATTAAAAGGTTTTTTTGGCATCCTCAAATGTCCAAGAGCTCAGGCATGAGGGTGTCGAGTGCAGGAAACCAGCCAACTTGCTTGGTGGTAACACAAGAACTGTAAAGGGTTTGGGTTTTTTCTGTCTTTCTCTTTGGGGCACTGAGCTTTTCTGAGTGGGTTTAAAAGTGTCATTTTGGCCTGTAGCCTTGTGTTTTAGTTTTTGTTAAATTTCCAGCTCATTTTGTCTTGAAAATGGTGAAGCTGGCTTTTCTGCCTAACAGAGAAGCTGAGCAGCACTTGAATTTGAGTCCCTGCTGGGCAGGTGCCCAGTATTTGCCAGCAGCAATTCCTAGAATTGCTGCAACTTTTTTATTTTACAGTTTTGTTGTTAAAAATGTTGTATTGTCCTTTGGTCCAAGCAGTGGTGAATACACAAAAGCCACAGGGTGGGTGCAGTCCAGCCTGTGACCTTGTCATCCCACATGGCCTCAGCAGTGTCATTTTCCACACAACACAAAGTTTTGTGAGCCAGTGTGGGTGAAGAGATGCATTGCCATGACCTGTTGGCAAACCTGCAAAAGAAAATAAGCACAATGTGCCTGGCTGGATTGTTGGAAGGCTGTAAAAATCCTCACACTAATGAGGCAGTTGCTGAAAATCAAAAGGCTTTCCAAGTCACCTTTGAATAAAAAACTGATTGTTGGCTGTCCTCTGAGCAAATCTGTGCCTGCAGCAGCAGTTCATGTGTGGCATTTTTGATTCTGTCCTCAAAATGCTGATAAAAGACTGGCACATAGGAGCAGTGGATGGTGCTAATAAGCCAGAGGAGTGAGTCATGGAGGAAAATGTGTGGGAGGGCAGCCTGAGCACAGCCTTGCATCAGTCAAGACTTAATTCAAAACGCTCTGTTGGCTGGTCCTGGCATAGGGGGATGGTGACTGGGGTACTGAATACTTTGTAGGGAGAGGATCTGTGCAGAGACCTGTAAATACTCATGTAGGCTTGGTGCTGGTGTCACTGTTCAGGACAGCTGGGAGCATTTCAGACCTGGAACTGACTGATAATCAGTGTAATATACAAAGAGGTACGGAGAGTGAAAACACAAAATGAGCAAAAAAGGCCACATCCTTGATTCTTTTATGCAATTCATAGGGTATAAGAAGAGGAAGAAAGAGCAGCAGCCTTTAGCTATCCAGATCTTATAAGCAGGGAAGCCCTAAGCTATTGGGAAGCAGCGAGCTGTAACTGCTGTCCAAGTCACTGGTGCAGAGCTGAAGTGCCCTCTGGAGGGTGCCCTGCCAGGTGCCAGCTCCTCACTGTAATTCACAGCAGCGCTGTGGATCACGAGGCTGTACTGTGGATCCCTGCAAGGACAAGATGAGGCTGCAGGCATGGACGTGAAGTCCCTCTCCTTTCACATGGTGCTGTGCTGACAGATCAGGTTATCTTCTGTTTGCTCAGACAGGGGCTTTGAATTCCTTCTATTCCCCGTGGAGGGCATGGATTCTGTAAACAAAAGCAGGAAAATCTGAGGGAATGCGTTCCCTGCTGCTGCATTGGCAAGTATTAGAAAGGAAGTGTTGTGCACTCTGCTTCTGAAGAGCTCATTGCACAGCCAAGTAGAATTTTTCCACCTCTAGCTTCAATCTTTGGATGTCAGAAAGGAGAGCTGAGAATGGCCAGTTTCTGAAAAGCTGTTTAGCAACATGTTTGAGCTGAAGAGAGGGATTTCGTCTGTGTTAGTGGGAGGCAGGTCATGCAGGAATGTCTTGGAAAGGAGACTGCAAAGGAACAGGTGTGGGAATGTCCCACAGCTCATGGTCACCTGCACAGATGATTGCCAGCCCACAGCAGCAGGATCAGCTGTGCTGCCAGAGCCACCTCCTGTGCAGGAGGAGGAGTGGGAGGCCTGGAGCTGGCATGGGATGGCAGGAATGCGAGATCTGCCTGACATGCTCGGCTACAGCAATCCAAACCAGAGCTGTATATAGCCTGGCAAGCTGCGCAAATAGAGAAATCCTGATATCTCCAAGGTTTGAGGATGGATGAAGGGAAGGGAGCACAGCTGGGTGTGCTTCTGGGTGCTGCTCAGGAAGACACTCAGATTTGTCCTGTTTAGAATTGGGAGAAATTTGAAGCAGGGACTGTGGTGCAAACACCCAAACTTTTGCTGCCCTACCACGGAGTCTCTGTGTCCTTTAAAGGGAGGACATGAGGAGGTGTCTCAGTGTGTGTGTAAAGGTTTTCCTGCTGCCTGCACTGCCATCCCAGGCCTGTGACGCTGCTGGGCTCTCTGCACTGCACTGTTTAACAGGAATGGCCAACTGGCTGTGCTGCTGCTGTCACTCCTCACCTGTCAGGTGTGCCTGGTGTATGAAACCAACCAAATGTTTTCTTCTCTCTCCCTTTTTCTCCAGAGTTTTTTGCTGAACTCAGCAGAGCGACGAGTGCCCTGGCACTGACCAGCAGCCTGACAGACCTGGTACACTACATCAGACAGGGATTACAGTGGCTGAGACTGGAAGCAAATATGCCTTAACTGGTTCTCCAGGTGGTTAAATACCTTGAAGTTTTTTTGCACTTTTGAAGCCTCAGAAACAGTTTAATTTTTGTTTTAATTGTTCAATACAAAGCACCTGCAAGGGAAAATATTTTAAATAAAGTTGGAAGTTATCTGGCTACACTGGAAAACCCTTGAACTGTGTTTTTCTAGGGGTAGCACTTTGCTACCTTGAAAAAGAAGAGACAGAGGATGGCACCTTCCTTTAAAACTACGAAGTGCAATGAATTGTCTGAATGGCCCGATGTATTGATGGTCTATAAACATTTCTTTTACAAATAACCAGCAGGACAATAATTGCACATGATGCTGACAAGAAGGAACTCTGCCTCCAGAGGTAGTTATGCAACATCCCACAGTCTGCAGCAGTTGTGTGCCCAGACAGGCCAGAGGAGTTGCTTTTGCAAGCACAGCTGCAATCTTTGGTGTCTCTGTTCCTCAGAGGGCGAGTAGCAGCCTCATCAAGCACCCAACAGCGTTGTGTTACAGGAAAAGCAGCAACAGGATCTGCTCTGCCTGCTTTCCAGCCTCACCCTCCTGCTTTTGTCAGCCAGCTGACAAAACTGAGGAAGCCACTGCCTTCAGTGCTGCAAGTTTTCTTTTCAAGTCATCACTGCTTTGGTCCTCCTTGCTGCGCTGTCATCCATGCTCCGGGCACTCCAGCTGTGTTACTGAGGGGCTGGCTCAGCCTTGCAAGCCAAACACAGCTGGGGTGGCAAAAAGATGTGGTGTGTTTGGAATAGCTCTGCCTCTTTGCTGAGAGATGTCACCATGAGGATTCTTTGTGGGGCTGATTTTTTGTCATTTCAGTGGGTGGGGGTGGAAAGCTGCACTGGTTCACTGTGATTGCTTGGACATTGTTCTAAGAGCTTCCATGGGAAGGAATTGCTTCTGGTTAAGGAGGGACTAAGTGGCTGAGTGTGGAACACAAGGTAAATTTTGCATTTAGATATTTGCCTGAAACGATTGAGTGTCTTGGTGAATATCTAAGAGCAGGATTTGTACCAAAGTAGGGTCTTCTTTGTGTGGGAGGCAACTCCTGTGTTCTCTCAGCCATGCCATAGGATGGGCCCAGTGACTTAGAAATCTGTCAAGGGGACAAGAAAGGGAATAATGAGCTGTTTCCAAACATTATTTTCCTTGTCACAGTATCAGTGAGGGCAGCAGCCATGACATTTGTGTTTTCAGTGAGATGGCACCCTTCTCTCCCCAGAGATTCCCTGTGGTGTGACAGCAGCATCCTGCCGTCCTCATGCACTATAGTGTGCCTTAGCCCGCTGGTGCCCTCTCACATCCCTCACCCTCTCTCACAGACCCCTGGCACTGGAGAAGAGAAGGATAATTGTGTTTACAAGAAAGAATCAGCTCCCTTTTCCACATAATTTCATGGTTAGGGAGGAACAGCCCTGCAGATGTACTGAAGTACCCCCTTTGTAAAATACCTGCTCATGGGTGTGAGACTCATGAAAATGAACAGTGAATAAATATCAGCAAAAGGTTTGCATTTCCAAAAGTGGGTTCTGTAGGAGTGGTCCCTGCCACGGGGAAGCCTGGGCTCTTTGTTCTGGGAGAGATGATGGGAGCGTGCTGGTCCTGAGCACAGGGGAGCTCTCCTGTTGCCTTCCCTGGCAGGGCAGAACCACCGGGATCATGTCTGTGCCTTTCTGCACCTTGAAGGGATTGGCCTTTCATGTTCACTTTGTTAAAAGCCTCAGAGCATTTCAGGGATGAGCTGTCCTAACAAGTGGGAGGAAGATCCATGTCCCCCCTCCCCATTTTACCTATCAAGCTTTGCTTGCACTCCTACCCCCTGGAGCAGCAACTGCTCAGAGTGAGCAGGGTGGGAGAAGGGCTCAGCATTAACTGTTGTGTTCTCAGGAAGTGTGGGGATGGGCAGCCAGCCTGGAGGCTGATGTGCACTTTGGAACTTGATCCCAGGCTGGCGGATCGATGCCACCTTTGGACTTTGTCTTCAGACAAAGCTATTTCTAGGATCACCAGCTGAGGAGGAGGAGGAAAGATGAAAGCTTTATTGAACTTGGAAACCACTGTGGGGGCCTGCAGGAACCGTAGCAGAGTGTGAGGGGAAAGCACAAGGGGCAGCAGGGACAGGGGTGCCCCGGTACTTTCCTTCTGTGTGCATCCATGTCCCCCCTGCTGCCAGCAGAGCTGCTTGCTGTGTGCAGGAGTGCCCGTGTGAGGGCTGCTCCCACTCAGCACCAACCCCCTGGGCTTTGAGGGGAAGAGCATCACAGGCAGTTTGTGTCACAGGCATGTGGGGGCTCTTTGGGGGCTCTCAGTTCAAAAGCAATCTGTGGGAGCATCACTCCACAGCAGGAAGCTAGGTTTTGTTTCAGGACACAGAGAAAGACTGTTCACATAATAGGAAATTTTAAGAAAAGCCATCATATTTCAACCTTGAGCCAGGTCAGAGGCCTGCAGAGGGTTTGGAAGGAAGCTCATAATTTTCACCTGGGCCTATTCAGGCCTTTAAAAAAAACAAACAAAAATTAAATAAAAACACAAATCAAAACGTAGCAGTGGAGGAAATAGCATTTGCCATTCAGAAGCAAACCATTAATCCAAGGAAAACCAGGGGTGATTGTTTAATCCCAGAAAGAACAGAGGCAGCTATGGTGGCAAAGCAGCATCATTTCCACGCAATATTTATTTAAAAGAAATAATAATACATGCATTGAAATTGTCAAATATTCTATTTTTAAGATGCCATTTATTTAATAGTTGAGAACCCCACTTACATGGAGATAGAGATCTCTTGTGTAATTGAAAGTCAAAGTCTGACTGCAATGTCCTTGGTTTTGGTTTTGTCCTCTCCCCTCCCTCTTGGTTTCCACGATAAATTTGTGCATCTTATTTTGGGGATGTATGTCCCTCTTGTATATAACCTTTTTCTGCCCTGTGTGTGATGGAATTTCTGAGATGGTTGATTCATATGGGGGAAATAAACAATAAATGAATGTTTGTTATGAGGTGTTTCAAGAGTCCTTGTGTTCTCAGCTTCTTGCAGAGAAATTCTAGTGTAGCTTTTCTCTGAATGGACTCAGTGTTTCCCCTCTGAATGAGGTTTAGGTATGAATTTCTGTACAAGAAGTCTCTTGTTCCCATTGCTGCCCCATTTGTCACCCCTTGCCCTTTCCTTAATGACCAAAAGTGGTGCAAATGTAGATGCTCAGAGTGGCAGGAGCATCATGACTTGGGACATGTTCCTCCTGCCCTCCCAAATCTGACGCAGGGAAGCTGTGCTGGGCCAGCTGCTGCAGCCAGCAGGGCCTGGCTCTGAGCCCTCCCTGGCAGGAGCATCCCACAGGTTGGTTTTGGACAGTTCAGGGAGGTACAGTAGGAAAGCAGGAGACAAGGCACACAGGTGGTGGCTGAAGGGCCCTGCTCTGTGCTTGCCACAAAGCTGTTGCAGGGCTCAGTTTGTGGGCTGGTTTCTGAAGCCATATGAGGAGGATTTCCCTCAGGGAATCCCACAGGATTTCATGCCCTGTGGTAGCAATGCTCTCATTGGTTGTGCAAGGGGATCTCTGCCACGGCCTTGTAATTCTCATTGGAGGCTTTTCCCACTTTTTGTTTTCCAAGCTGTTCCTTGGAAGAATGGTTTTGGCATCTCTGTGCACTATTGAGATACAATTTGGGATTCAGGTCTGTTCTGCAGCAGGCATTGCCGCCAGGATGTTTGCTGATTATGGATGTGGTTTTCTCGTGCACTGTGTGAGTTGTAGGGGATGCTGACACCTGGGAATGCCCCTGGAAATGCTGCTGCTCTTGCAGGTGCTGGGCACAGAAATGCACTCTTGGGTTGTGGTCGGGGCAGGGCTGGGGCAAAGCAGGGAGGGGCAATTCTGGGGTGGAACATGCCAGCAGGGAGGGCATCCAGAAGCCAGGCAGGATGTGGGGCTGTGGCAAGTGTTGGCTGCCCAGCTTGGCTTTCTGCCCAGGGCCCTGGCCCCCCTGGGCTAACACAGCCAAAAATATTTTTCCAATAATACTTTGTTGTCGTTCCTTTAATTATCGAGTCTTTATTGCCCAAACCTAATTTTGCAATCCTGTTTAATTTATTTTGAGATTTTTTTATTGATTATAGATGAGCTTGCGTTCTGCCTTTGGCTTGGCTTATCCTTTTCAAAAACAAATGTCATTTTTGGCAAAACAGCTGAGTTAAAGTCGATTGCACTTTCTCAGCCCAGTGCTGCTCTCCAAGCACTAAAATAGCCCCTTGGCAGCCTGTGCTTTCCTTACGTTAATTGCAGTTTCAGCAACCCCTATCTCAAAAAACCAACTCTGTTCCTGGGCTATCATCAACCTTTCTGAATGTGTTTCCATAACTTTTGTGCTCCTGAAACTTGTGCATGCTGCAGTGTGCACTCACTGCTGCTTTGTGATGTCTTTTGTCAAGGTGTGGGGTTCCCAGAGTTCCCACTGGGCTTTCCTCCTCTCCTGCTCAGTATTGCTGAGGGGTTTTATGGGTCTAGCCCTTAATGTTGCAGCATTAGGAACTGTGTTTTACACTGTTAGAGGCATCTGCAAAACTTGTAGATTGTTTAGTGAAATCTTGATTTTACTGCCGGCCAGTTCCATATGAAGAAATACTTGTAAATGGAAAAAAATAGTTCAGATGATTTGTTTTATTTTTCAGTTCCCAAGTAATAAAATGCATCTGTTTTTCACTTGTTCCATGTGAGGTTTTCCCAGATGCCTGCTGTACCTTTTTACTTGGAAATTACAACTGAGGTAAAGTCAAGTCTTTGTTTAAATTTTCATTTGAAAGAATCAGAAAATCCTGTCAGCTTAACAACTGTGAAGGAGTAATTACTTAGACAATGTCGTGCCTTGAGAGAAGTCGGAATCTTTTGGAGCAGGGAGGTTGTGGGCAAAAGGTAGCTGGGCTCCATCCCAGGACATGGCAGGCAGGTCAGAGCATGGGGGGCATTAGGGGTGTAAACCTTGCAGTCAGTGCACAAAATCTTTTCTAAGATTTTTGTCCCACACAGCTGAGAACCTTTTACCTTGATTGAATTCAGTGCCAAGTGGAATAGTAAGCTGAGTAAAGGGATTAGATTAGAATAAACAGTCTGGCTGAGGTAGAAGGGGAAGAGAAATCTGCAGATCATGGGCACAGCATTTTTTTTTAGCACCCTGAACCTGTCTCTTGACGACCAGTGGGATTTCTGTGATAATTATTAAACAAGAGGCAAAGGGTTCATTGAATTTCTGTAGCCAGTGGAGGAGAAGAATCACTCTAGACAGAGGCATTACTTCCCCCTGCTGTTACTTTGTGTAAGGGCAAGAGTTGCCCTGGAAAACAGAAAATCCCACACTGCAATTTGGTGGCTGACACAGCACAGTTCAGACATGGTCCTGGTGCATCCCTGTTCCTCTCCATGATTCCTTGGCACTGTGTGAGTGGGACAGACCATGCACCACAAGAGTGCAATGACTGGTGGCAACTGGAAATGGCAAACTTGTTTGCAAGAATATTGGTAAAGAAATAAATGTGGAAATTTTTTTTAAAGTACCTTTTTTTTTTAAGTGCTCCAAGGGCAAATTAATTCTCCCAATAAATCCAGCAGTAAGCATGGGAAAATGGGACATAAAAGCTTACATCCTTTAAAACACAAATGAACGTTTAAAGCTGAGGAAGTAGAAAATTCTATCATAAAACTAACAGTATGTGAAATGAAATTAAACTTCTGGTTTTATTTCCTGTGATAGAAGTTCAGGCTTGGGAAACTGGGTTAGGTGGAAGGAGGCTGGGCAGTAGCTCTTGTGTTTTGGATGAGGGCAGGTAGCAAAATGTGCTGTTACTGCTGTGATTGAGAACTCACCTAAATAGGAATCTAATAAGGGATTCCCTCTTTTCACAGAAAATTTTAGGACATAGAGTTGCAGCATAGCAACCAAATGTGAAAGAAGATTGTGAAGCTGACAGGTGGGCAGAGCAACAGAGCTGCGGGAATCTGCTCTCATGGAAAAAATCATCTGGAGATTATTTTTCATCATGGAGGTGAACAAATCATCTCATTGATTTGTTCACAAATTAGAAATTCTTGGAATTGATGGTTTGTACCTTATCAGGGATGTGTTGTTTTGATTTTTTTTTAAGATTGTGTCTCTTTGTCTGAGATGATTTCATACCACATTCATTCACCATCTGATGGGCAGGAGCCTTTTCTTACATGAGTTCTTTCAGGAATCAGCTGTACTTTGAAGGAGATGTAAAGAATCTGTGAGTCATAGAGATGAGCTGGGCTGCTACAGCACTCCAATGTCAATTTGCTTTTCTCATCCCACTAACTAATAATCTACGTATGAAATTCTTGTTGCAGAGGCCCTGCTCCAGGAGTTCTCCTGTCTGGACTGGTAAAGAGCCTCCCTGAGTTTCCATCACTGCTCAAAGTGCGCAAGTCACAGAATTGAATTTCTTGCCACCTTTTTTCATTCAATGCCTGAGCTGGAGCCTTTGGACAGAGCAGCTGCACGGTCTGGGCCTGGTACCTGAGGGCTCCCTGAATGGCTGCCTCTCAGGGAACAGGAGTTTGGGGATTTTCCTTGTCAGAAAGCCTGTCTGTGCAAGGAAATTCTCTGCTTGTCTTGATGTCTCCTCTCCCTTCCATCCCTTGTAGGTCAACAGGAACAGCTTCCAATCCCAATTCTTACTTCTGCCTCTGCAAGCTGCGAGTAAGAAGTCCTCTCTCCAGGGAAATTGCAGGTAAGGCTGGAGCTGCTGGGAAAGGCTGAGCTGAGGAGAGCCTTGTCTGCACAGGGGTGTGAGGTGAGAGCTGCTGGGACAGGGAGCTCACCCTCCGTGAGGTAACTCCTTACTCCAGTGACTCTAGGGGAAGATGGCAAAGCCGTCATGGAAAAAAACCCCAAATTTCAGAAGTGAAGCCAAAATTGTTGATTATTTATTATTATTATTGTTATTATTAGTTTCAATAATCCAATGTTTTCTGTGACTGTACATTGAGGTATCTCTTCAAATAATTAAATGTATGCGAAGACATCAAGTTCTGCTCACAATAATTTCAGTGTTAGTGACAGCAGCATTGAAAGGAAGGGACGCTCATAAAGGAGAGTACCTAAGGTTTAACTTGTGCAAGCAGCTTCCACGTTACATTAGAGCAGTTGTTTGCCTGGGGCTTGGTGAAGAAAGGCAGAAAGAAGGAATCAAACAAATCCAACAAAAGGATAAGTCCAACAGTTTGGGTAAATACAGAACTGTCAACGAAAAAACAACTGGGGAGAGTCTTTGGAAGAGAAACTGCTGGAGTTCCCATGTCTGTTTTCCTGAGGTCTGCACCTTAGGGGTTGGAATTTGAGTAAACACCATCCCCAGCCCTATGGATTAGGAGGCATTGCTGGCTCACCTAGGCTGAGGAGCAGGTGTGGACAGTTTCTTGTAGTGCCAGGTGTCCCCTTCCTCAGCCTTAGGGAACATCTGGATTAATCTGTGCCCAAGTGTGTCAAACAGGACTTGGCTCACCAGGTACAGTGCAGGTGGATTATCAGCAGCAGCTCGTGGTCAGGAGGGGAGCACTGTCTCTCCCAGGCAGGCTGGCTTTGTTTCATCCTTCAGGGGTTTATTTATGGTATTTCTGCAAATGCTCTGCTGTGTAGGGCCAATCTTTCCTCTTTCTTTTTTGAGATGCAGTCTTGAGCATTTCAACAGGACTTGATGCTGTGGTAATTATTTGCTTTAAAAGCTTAGGAACTACAGAAATTGTCACCTGCCATCTTGTTAAGCAGACAAACCATCTCAGTGCAGGTCCAACAAATGCCAGCTCTTACAGATAAGAAGCAGTGTGGTAGGGCAAAGGCTCAGCTGCCCTTCTGATTAGATTTTGCTTGGCTTAACAGGGAGAGGAAGGTTTAATCCAAGTCATCCTCACTAATGGTCTCAGGCTACAGTATAGATGTTCCTCAGTTCTGCACTGTGCTTTGCTAAAATATCACAAATTTCTAGAGAGGAATGAAATGTTCTCCCTGCAGATGCTAGGATGCTTTTTCCAGGTTCCCAGTACTTTGCACTTGGAAAGACAAGCCCCAAAGCAATTGATACCAGGCTGTTTTCTTCTCACATCAACTCACCTGTTCCTGCAAATGTCATGATCCCACTAAAAAAGCTAGAGGGCTTTTTACAAGGAATATTTTCTGTTGGCTTTGAGCTCAGGTTGGTTTGCATAAGAAATTACTTCAAGGCCCTGACTGAACCTAAGGGGTTCCTGTTCTTCAAAAAGGAGTAACATAAATCATGATTCTGTCTACTCCCATGCTGATTTTCTTCCTCCTCTTCTTGCAAAACATGTGTTCCCCAGTTTATCTAAAGGAGAAAAATTGCATTTTCATTCAGTTGTACAGACCAACAAGGCAGTGCTCTGCATCTTCCCCGACCACCAGGCAAGAAGAAAGATTTCTGGCACCCCATTAGGAACACCCAGAGTTGAGATGTTCCCAGTGGTTCCTGCAGCAGTGTACAGGGCAGCCTTTCATTTGTTGCTTTTCTGGCACACACTCGTTCTCTCTTGGCTGGCTCAGCAGCATTTAGGAATTGTTCCTTGCTTACGTGGAATTAGTTCTTGGATTAGAATTCAGTCTCTTTGTGCAGTTAATTTGTTGAACTATGTGGTAAAAGAAATGTTATTTTGCCCTTAATCATTATTAACAGAAACATAACCATGACCAAACTCTCTTGGATATACATACATTTTTCAATATAATGTACAACAAAAGGCATTGTATTAAAATTTTCTATTGAGTGTCAATGGTTTTAGTTACAACCTATAAAATTACACTTAATGAATCCCATAATGTTTCACTTACCAGTGTCTCTGTCTGTTACAAATGCTGAACTGGGAGCTGCCAAAGGAGTATTGCACTGACTCTCATAATAATAATAATAAAAGGGTTCATTGCAATTGTTCCACATAATCTTCCATAACCTGCTGTTTCCAAGTTTGTGATGCTTTGATGCTTATTTGGCTACAAAATGAAAGCCTTGTCTCCAGATAATGAAGGAAAGGAAGGTTGTCCTGGACCATTTGAAGTCTGAGAATATTTGATTCTTTCATTGTTTACAGCTAGACTTGAGAAGGATCAAAAAGATTTTTGCAGGACTAGCTTAGTGCAAAGGCTTCTTTCTGACTTGCAGCAGAGGCAGTGACCATAAAGGAGGTATTATCTTTAGGAATAAATTACACAGTAATTAAAGCAAACTCCAGATTGTTTCATACAAGAGGGACGGGAGTGGAGAGCTTTTTCAATATGGAAACAACTTCTGTACATACAAGCCAGAAAGCTTGATTTCATCTAAAAACAAAGTTCTCTCTTTACTGAAAACTTCAGTTTATTCTTACTCTTTTACACCTGTTTTGGAAATCAGCAGACACCCAGATTGCCATTAATGACTGCTGATTTCCTTCAGGAACCTAATTATCCAAATGGAGCACTAGGACAAAACAGAGTAAAACAGATTAAAAACGTTTTCAGCTTAGTTCTCTATTTGGATTAACTCCATTGGAACGACATTTCCCTGCTCTTAGGATCTGAAGTGAGTGTTTTAGTGTATAGAAATGGAGAAGAATTCCCCTAAAGAGTCTTCTAACAATCCTTACTATATTTTGTTATTTTCAAAGGCACATAAACACAAAGCAGCAGGATGTACAAGCAGCTAAGAATGTCCACTGTTGAGAAAAGGGCATTTGGATCCCACGTGGGAAGAACACAAGAGGGAGTGGCAGACTAGGAATGGTGAGTCCTATTTCTGATGGATAAGTATCTACTGAGATGAACTAAAGCCAAGACTGAAGCAAGGACAAGGTTAAGGCACTTGATACATAGTTAACCTGTTTTAAAGGAATTCAGACCTATTTTGGGACTAATTAGTGAGAGAAGTTTGTATTTCCTGATCAGACGCCAGGATCAGAGGTGTGTTATTCCTGTGTCAGTGGCCTTGGGAAAGATAAGCAAGATGTCAGCAGAGTTGGGGTTACACCAAGACCAAGCTCTGTCCCTTCTGCCCCAGGGAAGGGGCAGAGCTTGTGCTGAGATAACACATGTGGGGTCCTCTTGTGAGCACAAGTTTCTTTTGGTAAAGAAATTCACCTTCATTCACTATTCAAAGTGGACTTTCCAATGGCAAAAGCATCTGAAGAATTAAGATCAGAGAGGAGAGAAATCAGAGACCCAGTCCAAGGCTAGGACCTGGGTCTGTGTGAAGGTGATAGAAAAGACTTCCAAATGAGCATAAGCAGCCCTAACCCTAACCTGAAATGTAGTTTAATACATGGAGGACAGAGACCACCTCTTGTAAGTTTAGAGAAGAGAGAATCTCCATTTAAACCAGTGAACAACCTTCCAGTGCACTCTGTCCGAAGATCTGATGGACACAGATCTTTAAGGTCTTACACTACCATGCCCACCAAAAGCAACAAGAACATGGAAATATGAAAGGTAATCTCTTGGGCTCTGGTATATATATAAAAACCTATTTTAAAAGCCTCTTTATCATGATAACTGCTACCAAAACTCCTGTGTATTACCAGAATATAAAGTGCTACCTAGAAAGCCTTCACTGTATTTTTCCACGGCTCATTTGATAGGTCCCAAAACACTCTGACTGGGAAAAGGGTAGAAGAGTCACAATCTCACAAATTGTTTCTAAACCCCCCTGATTTATGACAAATTCTGCTTGATTCTATTTACAGAGAATCCTGCTGTTAAGGGAAATTGATATTGGCCCTGACACCTTCACAAAATGCTACCAAGGATAAAAATGAACCAACAACATCACAGCTGTGGGAAGGTGTAAGTAGAACTGGCTGCCAGGTTGATATGTAAATATGTATATTCCTGTATCACTGTGATGCCAAATGCTTAAAGGAAAAATTGTTATTGTTACTGAGAATATCCTTCTCAACCTCTTTACACAAGTAATAGAAATACTGCAAAAGCTATGCTGGCCCATTTCCTGGAAATGCCAATTTCTGTTTGTTGGTAGAGGCAGCCAAGAGAGCTTCTGACAAATATCTAAGTACAACATGTTCAGCAGAGACTTTCACCTGCCTCTGACTTGCAGGCTGAGAAGTGCAAATCATGTGTGACATGTCTAGGGAGGAGGAAATCAACCACCAGTCATCAGCTGATAAAACCACAGAACAAGATGTTTACTCCCATTTTGGTTTCTTTGGTTACTGGATTATTTTTTTTTAGTATGAGTTACTACTTTTGTAACAATGTTTGCTTAATAAACCAATTTGCTTTTTTGCTGCACGTTTTTCCTCTAATAAAGACATTTATATTACTGAATTTTTATTTCCTCTTCTAAACACTGGCATTGCCCTTTAAACATGAGGTTATATACCAAGGTATTTGTCTTCAGCTGTTTTGCAGAAATTTGATGTTTAGAAGAACAACTTGTTTCAGCAAGAACAAATAAGGGTTATCCATTTAACCTGGGATTGTGTTGTTACAATCTGTGTTGTTCTTCAGCTGCATCAAAGTGCTCCTCCAAATCATTTGCATCTGGCAGCTATTTTTTCCATGCATCAGTTGTGTGAAACATGGGTTGAAGTCCATGACTGAAGCTATAAGATAGTGGCTTATGCCACATTTCACAAAAATCTTTCAGATACTGCCCTGGATAATGACAATACTTGCACCAAAGTTCCTCCTGAAAAGGAAAAAAATTAAATTTACATATGATGTCTAAGCATGTGAGGCAGATCCCTCACAGATGCCTTTCTTTAACTTTCCAAAACACAGAAGCCGCTAATGGGACGCCCAGCCTCTCCAAAACCCAGGCTGCACAAACCCTTCTGGGTTAACAGGAACTGTCAGTAATTCTGGCAGCCAACACTGCCCTCCAGCGTGGGTTGTGTTAACTTCCTTCTGCAGTGTCTTCCTTCTTCAGGGTTAATAAATGAATTCGGTGTGCATTGCTGAAAGTGCCATCCCATGACTTCATTTAACTTTGTCTTAAAATAAATATTGATTTTATTTTAATAAAATAATTTTAAAAGCTATTGTTTATCAGCTGCTGCTCTCCTTTCTATGTACTACTGCAAAAATTAAAAATGAATGTGTAAATACATTATTATTGGATCTATAATTTATATTTGCTTTGTTGTATTTAGTATTTTTCAAAAGATCTACAGACCCACCAGATCTCCTTTACAGATGATGTGTAACACGTTGTAGATTTGCTTTCTGCAGTTATAACAGACATAATGAAGTCAATATTATTTCCCTGTTTTCCCTGCAGATTTCTGATAGTTCATGTGTTATATATATATATCTATAAAAACAGGATCTACATTTCAAATCAAAAATTCCCTCCAACACCCTCAAAGCATAAGGAACTGTTAATCTCTACAATTCATCTCATAGGCAACACACTGCTTGTATATGCACAAACACCTCAACCTCATTTAGAAACACCTGGTGTCACAGGCATAGCTGATTTTAATTTATCACTGAATTATCTTTTTTGTAGCATTCATCTGAATTTCAATCCCAAATTGCATTAAAAGAGAGTTTCAATGCTAACACAGAGGATGCTCAATACTCCCAACACCAAGTTGCAGAAAGGTTTATTTAACCCCAGATTCCCTGTAAATTTATTAACATATTGAACAGCCCCTGGAGTTTGCATTTCATAGGAAAAAGAAAGGGTGGGGGGCTGGGGAATGTGTCTGTGTGTCTGTCTGTGTTTTGCACTGTAGAGAATAATTTCTGGTCCAAAATGTGCATGTACAATTCCTGCTCAAAACTGTCCACCTCAGGGACTGCTTTTTGTAGAATTTGGGCAAACACTTCACTGCACTGTTCTGTGATCATGGTATGTTTTTTAATATAAAAAAGGATCTATTATCCTAAATTAAGATACTTCCCAGAATTATTCAAAGAAATGGTTAGGTCAAGGTCAAGGTGCTGTAATTCTTTACCCATACATACTAGAGAAGGTGGCTGGCCCTTCATTCACCAACATTCCAATCTAGAGGACAGGCAGGTAGGCTGGGATTGCGCCTGGGATTGTCCTGAGAGCAGTGAATGATCCCCTTGGTTCCAAGCACTACAGGCAGCTGGTGGGTGATGCTGTACCTGCCCCTACGAGCAGCCACAGTCTCAAAGAGCCTCCTGTGCTGCAAGAAGTGCTGCAAACCCCTCAGTGCTGGTGCCCACTGCCACACTGAGCTCCCTGGTCTGTATCTCATCTGATCTGTGAGTAAATAAATTCTGATGGAAATGGCTCGGCCTGGCTTCTCCCCAGACCCCTGCTGGCACCAGCAGTTGTTCCCAGTCTTTCTCTTGCAGCAATAGGGGAGGTTTTGTGCCAGGCAACTGCGACTGCCAGTGTCAGGGGTCAGCTCCACAGCCTCTTGTCTTTGTCACCAGCTCCCACAGCTGGCTGGCATCCATTTATTCTATTCTCTCCATTTACAATCAGCTTGAGACTTTATGCTGCACAAATGCTGCTTCCCCCTGTGACCCCAGCAACCTTGACTCAAAATGATCTGTGCTGGTAAAACCTGAGGTAGCTTGGCTGTGCCCTGGGCATTGATTCAGTTGATTCCCCTTGCACCACCCTTGTGTAGGGACACAGAGTTGCCAGATGCCATCAAGGGGCAGGACACGTCACATTTTCAATTCTGCACCGACACAGCCCCAGAACTGATCCCTGGGGTACCCCCTGGCTTCCAGGCTGGTGCCTCAACTATTTCTCAACTATTTCTCAGTCTGTATTTCATCAGCTCATCCATGAGGATGCTTTGGGAGACCAAAGAGGCAAGAGCCTTGCTATGATTGAGGTAAACAACATCCACTGCTCTGCTCTCCTCAACCAAGGCAGAGATTACAGGGAAAAGGCTGATGGGTTGGTGAAGGTTGGCTTGTAATAAATCATTGCTGGCTGCCAGTCCTCAGGAATCTACCCCATCACCATGACCACCCAAAGATCGCTGAGCAATGGCCCCTAGCCACCCTTCACACAATATTAGGAGCCTTCCTCTTCTGGATTTATTAGCTGTGGGCTCCTCATTCCTCATTTTTAAGGAGGCTATAATAGCAGTGTAGAAAGCAATCCCCATTTTTAATTTTTCACCAATAAACCTTTTCACTGGAGCAGCAACAGAATAAATTCTAATTTACAGATTACTAGTCCCAAGGTGGCAATGACAAGCCAGGAAAGAGCATAAGGCAATCGCATTTCTATCACTCCATCTGGGAGAGGCAAAAGCTGAGTGTCTGCTTCAACAAAGACCATGGCACACAAACATGTTGCCATTGTTTTCCATTCACCCTAAGAAAAAGACCTGAAGGAATAAATGCTGGTTTTGTTCTTCACCATTCTCCAGAGACATTTTCTGACTTGAAATCTGAGACAGTTCTCTGATCAGTATCTTCCAACGTCATCTCACTGCTCCAAGCCATTCCAGTGGACAGCTAGAAACTTCTGGAAAAATTAACATTCAGGGACGTTTAGGAGTGAGGGTAAAAGTACAGGACAACCTTGTAAGAATTTTAGTGAAATTATATATAATACTATTATATAGTTTTGTATCTCTTGCACAAATGAGTAAAAAAAAATTTAATTCATAAGCCTTCTGACCCTCTGTTTTTCCTCAGGAAATTCTAAATCTCCAAGCTGATAAATCACTTCTCCCTTCAGTTCTTTTTAAATAAAAATTCTGAAGTCCTATTACACTTTTCTAGACCTCAGGCTATATTAAAAAAAAAAAGCCTGGGAGTGCAACAAGCCTGCAGTGAGCCTCTGGGGAGGCAGTTTATGGCAAAAGTAGGAAAAACATTGTACTACAGATCCAGTTGGAGAGCCCTGAAGTGGGCTGTTCTCTTTGAAATACTTTTTTCTTTCCTCCCACTCCCACTTTAGTCCATCTTTGCATAATCTCTTTTATTTTGTTCCAAATCTCTTTTATTTTGTTCAAGTGAAGCAGCAGCAAGAAATTCCCCCCACTCTCTATTTTTTTTTTAATTGAGAAGAACTGCTGGTACTCAGCCTCTGGCTCTGGTGGGAAAAAGCATGGGCCAGGCAGAGTCCTGGCTCCCTTCTCCCACATTATTCACTCTGGTGCAGTTAGAAGCCAATGCACACTAATTGCTGTGATCCCCCCATTTGGCTTTTAACTTAAATAGCCATCTGTAGGAGAATCTCAGCTGCTTTCAGCAGCCAGAAGCACTTGAAAACAGCAGCTCCTAACATTGTTTAATTTTTACTTTGAGGTCATGAAAAAGACCACTAACTGTCTCAATGAAACTCCATAGGATGGGCTTTGGCTGGATGATTTGTTTCTGCTTTAGGATTTAATTTGAACAATATGGACTTCTCCCCATTAGCATAAAATAAATCAGCACTTTGCACTAGTTTCCCACGCATCACTTTCCACAAGCTGCCAGCATTAGGGATCATGTGGACAGATGACAAGCACTCAAACTGCTAACATCTATTACAGTCCACTGGTCACATCAGCTCCTGGTTTTGATCATTCTTTACCTTGTATATCACTGTTACTTGCTTCCCACACTCACCAGGTTTAATACACACATGCCTTGTAATTCAGCCATACAGCATATTTAGACAGTCATAAATTCAAATCAGGTAGCAAGGGTTTGAATAATAGAAGACATTTTTTTTTCTCAGTAAGGCAGTTATTTGAAATACACCACAGCTATAGTTGAAGGATTTCAAGGAGATCAAGTATCAGAACTCATATTTTCCTTCCCCAGCTTTCCATATTCGTGTTAGCACGTAAAATGCTGCTTTATGTAGAAATTATTTTGTTCCACGAGTCTAACTGAGAGAACTTTGAGATTTACTGAGCTAGAGTCCAGGTATGGCACTTCATCTTCAAAATCACATGGGATGAAACAAATGATCCAAGTTAACGAGGGGAAGCCATTGAGCTTCATTAGCTGGAAAGAACAGGGTATTTTTCCGTGACAGATTTGCAGGCTTCCCCTTCCCCATTCCACCACTCCTGCCTTGCTGCTCTGTGCTGTAGGGGACCCCACCACGCTGCTGCCCCATCCGAAGCTGATGGGCAGCCAGAGATGCCCCATCCCTTTTCCTGGCGGCCCTCCAGGCCCTGTGGTGCCCTCCCCCCTTCCCCACAGCCCTGCCCTGCTGGGAGCTTTCCGTGTTTGCCCGCACAGCCCTCAGCAGGACCAGCGGCCTCCAGCTCCACACCAAAGGAGACAGCAGAGACAAGGGATTCCTGCTGAACAGCAGGGATGGACCCACAGCATCCCTGCAG